TTATCGGTAATTTTGATGCACTTGTGCAATTACCTACGAAAATTGTTTTTCCGGGTAGATCTGAGACAATTTTTCTTTTCGGGCCTCAAAAAAAGGCAGTATATAACCTTCCTTTTTTACCAAAAATCGACTACACCAAAATTTCTCGGGAAAACACTTTTTCTTATTAATTTTGGTGCCTAGAATCCAAAACAATTCCTACTTTTTCGATTAGACTTCTCAATCAAAAGTTGTAGACTAGAAACCAATTTCGACAGAAAATTCAAAGGGCTGTAACTTTTGAATTAGTAGCCCAATCTTGAAACTGTTTGATTTTGTGGATTCTACAGGGCACAATCTATAAGAAAATTTTTTTTCCGGGTCGATCTGAGACAATTTTTTTTTCGGGGCTCAAAAAAAAGGCAGTGTATATAACCTTCCTTTTTTACCAAAAGTCGACTACACCAAAATTTCTCGGGAAACACTTTTTCTTATTAATTTTGGTGCGTAGAATCCAAAACAATTCGTACTTTTTCGATCAGACTTCACAATCAAAAGTTATGGACTAGAAACCACTTTCGAAAAAAATTCAAAGGGCTGTAAGTTTTGATACTTTTCAAAGTATTCGAATACATTCTAAAGTATTTGAATACTTATTTTTTAAAGTATTTGAATACTTTTCAATGTATCTGTATCTAGTATTCGCTTGTGCTGGACGTAAAAGTATTTATTTCATACTATCTAGTAATCGCCGCTTTCCCAGACTGATTTGAGTCTGGTAAATCGTATTTTACCAGACTGAAAATTTTTACCAGACTAGAAATTTTGCCTAGCAACCGCAACTGACATCCATCTAAACGTATGCATTGATATTTGTCAAACTACTGTCAGATCAAACAAATCAAGTGATCGACTTTTGCTTTTATTTTAATGTGTACCTACCTACAACATTCTAATCAAAATGGTATTTTAATAGAAATAGAGCAGTATGAAATAAAATGTTTTACATTATTTGTATGTCAAATCAGTTTACGTTACTCGTTTCGAAATTCCATCTCACTCGTTAACGTAAACCTTGATTTGCCATACTCATATGTAAATAACTATTAGTATTCAAATACCTTTGATTTGTGTAAAGTATTTACTATTTAGTATTCAAATACTTTTTGAAAGTATTCTGCCCAGTTCTGGTACGTACACCTTTTACCGCTGTCACCAAGTGATGGTTTACTCTGCACTAAGTTTATTCTGTACTAAACTGGAAACTCCTAAAGTCAGTGGCGGATTAAACCCTTTAGAGGCCCTAAGCGCAACCCCCTTTTGAGGCCCCTCTCCTAATAAATATTCAAAATTTTTAAACATTTTTAAATCAATGTGAAATTTAATTTTGATTATGGTATAATCACATATATTGGCCGTTTTATAATGATCAGGTCTGAAAAACTGATGGAATGTCTACTCACATCACCATTCAATCATAACCGAGGTCTTACCTTCCCTTCTACTTTAATATTAATGATGTAAAGTAGGGTTCTAATTTGCAATTGGGTTCATAAATGGTCGCGATGCGAAAAGGGCACTTGAATCGCTAGACTCAACTTTTGGCATTGCGTATTACATGGTTAAAGCTATGCGTATATTGAATTTCATGCAATTCGGTTCATAACTAACGGAGATGTCAAAAGCGTCTTCCTTATTTTTCGACCTACATTGCCACTTCACGAACTCAGATCTACAAATTTGATAAAAAATCCACCTGCAAAATTTCATCGTAATCGGTTCATTCGTTTTTGAGATATCGTGCTAACGCCCTAACGGACAAACACCGCAAAATTATAAACTCGCTGCTAGGAGTTCGTTAATAACGCATGTAGGTACCTACACAAAAAATTATTCCCGTTATTTAGCAATTTTAATAAACAAAAATCAATTTTTCCCAGAGATTTTTTCTTGCTAGTTATTAGTTTTGGAGGCCCCCAGACAAGATGAGGCCCCAAGCACGAGCTTATTCTGCCTGTGCGGTGATCCGCCTCTGCCTAAAGTGAATGCATTACAGTGGTTATCACTCAGATTGCAGGGCCAAACTCACTAAAACCTTAGCATCCCTTACGGATCGTGAAACTTGTGTTTAATTTCAAGATCACTAGCTAAATTACGAATAGTGATGTAATTCGATTTTCTTCTACGTACCTACGCTAAAATATTAACTTCATTTCTACAATTATTAAAACACAGCAAGTTTTTTTTCTGGTGTAATGTTCATTAACAATTCAACCATCAAAATGAAATTTTTTAATGCTGTTGTGAATTGTGCCAATTGACGGAATTTGCTTATCGTGATATTTAGCAGCAAATAAATCCTTTGACTATTGAAATACATCTGTAACGTTTCCATTTCTTCTGCTTTTGTATATATTTTATTAAGCATATAATTATAATAATCTTACGGCCAGTTGCACAAAAAAATCCAGGATTATTGTTTAATCCGGTATTAAGACATTTGATTGGCTATATATTGCAGCCAATCAAATGTCAAAATTCTTGTTTAAACTCAGATTTGGTAGATAATGTAGGATTTTGATTATAATTCGCTTTCCTGCAACCGGCCGTTAATTTGCTAAAAAATAATTCAGAAGATCTCCCGACTACCATGCTTCGGAGGCAATGGCGGATTCAGCAGGGGGAAAAGGGAGCAATTTCCCCCTCCGACAAGCCCAAAAACGCTTGGTGAAAAGTTAAAAAGCACGCCTTTAAATGTTCTAGACAACTTAATTTGCAGTATTTCTATTAAATTCCCCACTTTATATTGTTCTAAAGATGTGCGCTACGTAAAACTGCTCTCCGTAACCACAATGTGCCCCCTCGAAAATTTTCTCCAGATTCACATATTCTGAAATAAAAACAACTGAATGCTGCCATATTACGGGAAACTTCTATATATAGAAAAATTTTGTATACAGTCATTATTTGCCGAGATATATACTCGTACCTACTATATTCCATACATAATGAGCGCTCTGTATAGATTTATTTGTTCAAAGTGTTTATACATAGTGCTCAGGAATTCGTTTCAGTTTTAAAAGTGTGAAAACATCCCGCTATTTGCGACACTACCCATAACAAATAAGGATAGATTAAGTAATGGTTTTCCTTATGTAGAAGTATTTTTTCTGATACATTTCCAAAATTGATTTGCTGGAGGTTTTAGCTATAATTGAAATTTGCCAACCATACATCTCAGATATTTCATGAAATATCAAAATCCTCTTCGTTATTTTCGTATTTGTCACATTAAGGCGGGACTCCACTAAACTGGGCTAGCCCGGCTCCCATTATTGCGGCCTTGCCGCTGGCACAAAATGCAGTAGCTTGCCGTGGATTAAAAATTAGACTCCACCAAACTGGGTAGATGTGTCGGCCTGCAGAGGGCTCTTGTTCTCCATCCGAGATTGTTTGACGATGCGAAATTTGTTTGTTATGATATATGACCCTAAAAATTATTACGAAGAGAAAAATAAGAGGAAGCGCAGGTTTTGGGTACGGTCTAGTTTAAACAAAAATCTTCAAAAAATCTCTTTAGTTCGCTGTAAAAAACAAAATACAAACTCAAATAGCGGAAAAAAGTCAATATACAAATATACCACGTAAACAACGTATCGCTTGATACATATAGGGAATGTTTGGGCTATGTATATTGTATACTTTAAAAAAACGTATGGAATTATGATACTAGATCACGGCATGAAACAGATGACTGTAGGCAATCAACATTACACGTGACAGCTGTTTTTACAGTTCTTAACCTGTTACCACCCTCCTATCGCATTAATATTTCATCCTTATCGTCTCTGCTATACTTACATCTTTCACATTAAATAATTAAGTTACTGTTTCTATAGCAGACGCTGATTATCATTTAAAACAAATTCGTATAGATTTGATTGCCTATTATAGCCATCTATTCCATTTTTACCATCCGCACGTTAATAAGAGAGATATTGCTTTGTGGTAAAAATAACCCGTCACTTTTTTTGCGGAAATACACCTTTTGAAACAGCTGGAATCCCAATCAAACAAAATCTCGATGATGTCGGCCTGTCGGGTCTGTCTGCACTCTCAATTCCGGCTAAACGGTTGAACCGATTGGAACCAAATTTGGTACACATATTTTTAGACATAAACGAAAGAGCTGAAAAGCTTTTAAGCAGAATCGCGCATTCAATATCTTATTTCCGGCTAAACGGTTGAACCAATTGGAACCAAATTTGGTACGACATATTCTTAGACATACCTAAAAGAGCGGAATCGCGCATGTGCGTGTATGTGGGTGGTATCTGTGCTAGCCACAGCAATTTTTTTTTAAGTATACATAGCGCATTTGTATACATTTAAGGAAAATTCCCCTTATATTTAAAACTGGCTGTAAACACATGTGGGCACTGGTGTCGGCCAAAATCCCTTTGATATTTACCGATATTTGCCCGCTAACAAAGTTATGCCGGCGGTCGATGTTAGCGGCTTCGAAAGGATGGTTATTTTTAATTTTTCTTTGGAAAAACAAGCGGGCCTAGCCCAATTTGACGGAGTCCCGCCTTTAGGAGATTGCCAAGACGATTTCTTTCATCACCAGTCATTAATGTTTACGTTTAAACATGGTCGATGAATTGTTTATTTACGCCTTAAAAATAAAAATAACGGTAAATAGAATAGACAATTAATGCATTAGTGTTAGCTTTTGTTATACCCGTACTTAATATTGGCTTACCTATTACCTACTAACAGCCTATTGGTACCTGTAAGTACTAAATTAGTGCAATCTTTTAGATAACCTTTTATACAGCAAATTATTTAAGGTGAACTCAGTCCTTTAATTAAGTTTGTTTATTAAATAATCACTTTAATACATTCTCTTTAACAACTAATCAAAAATGTTTTGTAGCTTATTTAACTATAACCTATTAGATTAATATTAAACAAATCGATGGCAAAGCAAAGCGCGTAGTTATAGTAGGCCCAAAAAAGGCCAGTGTAGATATGTATAAAAAGACGTCAGGTTTGACCTGGTCGTTCGATGATATCACTGGATAACGTAGATGTACTGTCTGCCGACAAGTATTCTTTAACAGTTCTCCTTCATTTTCTACATAATCAGATTCGATCGTAACGTGTAAGTATACAAAAAAAATGAAAAATACGATTCTAAAAAATTTCAAAATTCGAGCAAGTCAAAAGCGATCGTTGTAAATGTTACCTGCATATATGCAAACAAAAGCTCCAGTAATTTGGAAAGAAACTAAAATCACCTGTTAAATTTAAATAAACGTGTAGTTTTTTTTAGTTAATTTTTTTAGGTTTTTACGATGGGGGGAAATCCAAGCCCTTTACGCCATCGTCAGTGCACCGGCACCCATTCCGAATCCTACTCCTTTAGGTCCAAATGATCTACCATAGCAACCTCTGCAGTAAATTTCTCCGTTAGGTGCATCGTTAAGGTTTGTCGAATCTAGAGATTTTCCGCAATCGGAGCAACTGAAGCATCGCTTGTGCCAAATTCCGTTTTTACTGATCATCTGTTCGGCAGCATAAACCGCGTATCCACATCTAGAGCAACCTTTTCCTGGAGCGGCCTTGCGTCCGCTGTTCGGTCTAGCATCGGGGAATAAAAGCGTCGATTGTCCTTCGGTCGACATCAAGGTTGGAGCGTGGCCGTAACCGAAACCTTTAGGTCCGAACAGCTTGCCGTAACAAGCGCGACAATGAATTTCCCTGTCGGGCCCGTCGCAAGCCAGCATTGAATCCAAAGGCCGATGGCATTCGGCGCAATTGAAGCACTTCTTGTGCCACATCTAAAGCGTTAAGGTAAGACTCGTCGTCCGGGAGGGCGAGGTACTTACAGTTCCCTTAGCAAGCTGCTGCTCGGCCGCGAACACCATGCCACCACAACGGGGGCAACCTTGGCCAGGCGGGGCCTTAATTGATGTAGTGTCAGGGTTGTAGAAAGGACGGGAAGCAGAAATTTCATCCTCTCTGTACGTTAAAGATCCTATTAGATTAGCCGATTGGGAGTTTGAGCTTACGTTAAGCCGTCCGTCTGAAGAAATCCTGAACCACAAGCGAATCCATAACCGTGCGGTCCCCATTTCTTTCCGTAGCAAGTTTTACAGTAGACGTCCCTATCAGGGCCGTCACATGCGATGATGGAGTCAAGAGTTTTATGACAGTCCTTGCATTTGAAGCACTTGCGATGCCACGGTCTTCCTCTGGCCAAAACTTCCTCCGCGGCGAATACAACTCCGCCACAACGAGGACATCCTTGTCCGGGTGCGGCCTTAATTACGGCGGTATCAATTACGGTTGTCCTAGGCGCCTGGTCGCTGCACAAATAAGTGAGATTAAGTATTCAGCAGTTGTCAACAGTTTTGGAAGCCATGGCACAAACGGTCAATGACAGAGGTGACTTTCTAAGTCTAAGTCGACATGCAACACTGATAAGGAAAAATTGTGTGATCTACCTCTGCCATTCTAGATCCAAGGCATCGCACATGAGCCCGAGGAATGATACCCCCGCATGTCCTAAGCCTCTGGGACCAAAGCGTACAGCGTAGCAAGCTATATACATAATGCTTTTAATATAAATGAAACTTTACGCTCCAAAAGATTGCAAAAACAAAATTTCGGAAGCCAAAATGTACCTCTCTAAACCGATAATATCGCTCTGCAAAGTGCCTCCACCTTGACCATACCCATAACCTTTCGGCCCGAACTTCTTTCCATAACACACTAAGGGGTAACATATAGTCAGTCAAGTGCAACATGTAGGTAATTACTTATTGCATGCAATTAATCATAATTACGGTGTGCTTCACGCACCTCTGCAATAGATATCCTTGTCAGGACCTTCGCAAACACTGATCGAGTCCAATCCCTTCGTGCATACTCCACATTTGAAACAAGATTTGTGAAACGCCTTAAAATTAAAAACATCCACTTAAAATCGCACACAATTTTACGTTAATAATAGTTAAAAAGGGGACGGTGTTATTTACTGTTGCTTTTTTAATGAAAGTAATACCTCTACAGTAAACTTCTCGGTCCGGCCCATCGCAATGCAAAATTGAATTCAAGGTTCGATTACAGTGCCTACATCTAAAGCAGGACTTATGGAACCCCTAACATAATTTAATGGTATTAATATTACGCGATTTTACGATGGGACCACAGACAATGAAGTGTAACTTACCCTTCCACGCGCTAGCATTTGTTCCGCGGCATACACGTAACCTCCACAACGGGGACATCCCTCACCGGCCGGTGCCTTAGCGATTGCCTTTGCAATTAGGGGTGCTCCTGAAATGACCACGTCGCTACTAAAAAGAAAATTCGATCAATTGATTATTCCCCTTATGATGGAAGTAAAGCATTTTCATTGAAATTAGAAGCAGCTTGTCGAGCTAAACCAATTAAATTGTTTTACAACGGAAAATAAGTCAATGTAATGAGAGAAGGTAAGTTGCGCTTGCTGCTTGTAACTTTTGCTAACCAGACTTGAGGGCACTTTCCTTATCCCATTACAAGGGGTTGTAGGAGAAGCAGGTGCGAACAAAAAGCACAGTTTAATATGCGCACATTGAGCGATTTGTGTGTTAAAAGCCATTTCTCACCATAGTAGTTGTTTCTTGGTGATCCGCCGTGGAACCCTACCGAGTGTATGGACCGTTTTCCAAATAAAATTCGTTTGGTTGATTAAAGCCGAAAATTGTGGGTAAATTTTTGTGCATTTAATTAAGTGTGTTTATGTGCGTATATTATTGTTTATTTCCAATTCGAATATTACATTTCAGTCTAAAATGGTAATAACCGAATTTTCTGATATCCAAAATATATAATTAAAAGATATAGTATCTTAATTATACTTGTAAAAACTTAAAAATTACAACATAACATAGACTTGTATTACATAGGGTGGTAGGGATAGGTTGAGATGGTCTGCGGCGTTCCTAGAGATGTTTTCCGCAGTTGAAACGTGAAGTCCCTTAGGCGCTGCGATAAAAAGGGACAAATGTCATGCATCGTACAAGGGACAACATAATTAAATACTAATGAAGGCAAGCAACACGCTTGATTAAACACAAGCCAAACTAGGTGCTCTAATACCAGAAATAATCAGCGTGTTAGCTTGCCATTGAAAAAACGTGTAGGAAAGGAAAAGCCCTCAAATCTGATAACGTATCGGCAAATGTAAGTTGTGATTAACAAATGAAAACTTACTTTTCTTGCAAGTGAGAACCGGTGTCCATACTTAAACAACCAGCACCACCTCCAAAACCGTAACCTTTTGGTCCAAATTTACGGGCGTGGCAGTTTTTGCAGTATAATTCGCCCTCGTGTTCAGAGCAGTTGGTGGAATCTAACATCTTTCCGCAGAGACCTTCAGAAATCAACGTCGATTAATTCAAAATTTTTAAAAAACTTCCTGAAAAACTTACCGCATTTGAAGCAGGATTTGTGCCATTTAAGTCCTCCAGCTACACGTTCTTCAGCTGCGTATACAGACTTTCCGCATTTGGAGCATTTGGGGTTTTCAATTGGTTTGAAAGGCATTTTGTGATGTGTGTTCGACCTGTAATAGAAAAAAATATTCAACGAAAGAAGACACCGGTAAATTACGTAAACAATTGCAACAAGTGAAATTCTATAGCTCGATTGGGTAACTTGGCTTCAGTCCAAAGTCTAAAAATATCAAACACAGTCAACTCGCTTTCTAAAATTATCTCAGGAAATGAGAATCAGTTTTTGGACCGCGGCCAAATATTTGGGTTACGAGAGACAACCAAATTTGGAGGTGCTCAGGTAGGTTCGATTACACCATCGAAATTGTTTACGTTAAATTTCACATTCACTATTAAAAGACGCGCAACACGAATTCACGACACTGTTTAAGAATGTGCACTTTCACCCGCGATAACCGTACATACCTTGTGTTCGTTAGATAGTTGAAATCGAGAACGCTAGCTCCAGGAGGCGATGGGACTTGGTTTCCTGCCACTTACTACCACCGCAATTCGAATGAGTTGAAGGGATGTTGCTGCTCCTAGTCTATTATATGCTTTTGCACACGGCTCTTGAAGCTTAGGTAGGGGAAAACGAATAAGACGCGACTAGGAATAGACGTTTGAGCAATGTTCTAATTTTGTGGAACGCATAGATGGTAGATGTATTTTTTCGATAAAGCCTGTTGAGATATTTGATATAAATATTCTTTATGAAATTAATCTAATTATAATTGCACACTTTAATTTGAGTTGCATCCTTGGCGCCTTTACAAATGACAGTAATGATCTTACGCCAAAAAGTTCTCAAGCTCTTAGTCACCAGAGGTAAGAAGGTATTACATAATTGGAAAGGTGCATGTATAACAAAAACATTTCGGCGATTCCTTTACAATGGGCAACACCCACGTCTCGCTCAACTTTCTAAAAGTAGGAGCCTTCCAAGATGATTCAGACTGAAAGAGATACTTAAAATTCCACCTTCCAGTTTTCATCGCCTTTACCTAACGAAATGGTAATGTGCAATTACCGTGGCCGTATTTAAATTGCGTGTGAAATGGCTTCCAAATCATTAAATTAGCTAAAGAAAATGCGGTAGGATTTAGAAAATCAAAAACGTTTGGCTTAGTAACACACCACCAACCTATAAGATATCTAAAATAATCGGCGCTACCTGTGCCAAATCAGTCTCTGGGGCACGAAAAGTGTCAACAAATCTTTAATTGGTGCAAACTTGTAGAACATGCAGAAATCAATCGTTGGGTGTGAAGCGTTTTGGGCACCATTTGGCAAAAAATGGCATGTTAACATGGTGTAAATTATCAATATTAAACTGATACAAGAATTCCTCCAATCGCAGCTAGTAAATCACTAGCTGACCAAAGGTTCGGCTGGCTATTTTGGGTTTAAAAGCTTACAAATTCGAATGTAAATGCCCATCAATTGTCGAAAATAAGTAATCATATGACGTAAAACGGCAAATTCGTGGGCGGATTACTGTGGTAGGAATTTAAACCGAAGGGGGCCGAAACGGACATTTTCGATGGCAACGCTTATTTTAGTTTAGTCGCAATCTATTCGTCATCCCCAATCATCGGTACATGACCAAGTACGTCAAACCGTACGTTGACATTGACTAGGTCGGGGCGAAGGTCTTAAACAATTGGCTAAAAAATCAAAGGTGAAATTTGATCTTTGACTGGTTACCTACTGCAAATTGGAAATTGGCGGAGTTCTTCAAAAGGCTGAATAATTTTTTTACATACACGACTGTAAGCAAAGTTGAGCATACATTGCCTGCTTGTGACATGCCAAGAATGTTTCTTAATGTTCGTTGTCCTATCTTTATTTTTAACATTTCCAGTGAAGGTAATTAAGCATAAAATTCAGGAAACATGTTGACCCAAATGTAAGACAAGAATATTTCTTTTTAATTTTACACCCTTTAATTTTACTTTAGGCGAAAGACGCAATTGAAAATGTAAAACCAAACTCATTACAAGATTGGTAATTTTTCTGTATTAAAGATGTATTTCGGGATTAATTGACAAAATATTTTTCTTAGTTGCTCGGTAATATGGCATTATTTTTTATCACGTTAAAGACATTTGACAAAATGCCATCTACTTAACAGCTAATATCCACGGAAATAACAAATGCATTCCCATTGAAAATTATCTCTGTGTTTGGTAGGTACATAAAGGTACGTCTGTACGTCATAGGTAAGCAAGAATTCATCTACAGAACAGGTTTATAAACCAATCAATCGTAAGGGCTAACTTGATGAATCCTACTTGAGAGGAAGGAATATGAAGGACAAATTTAAGACTTCAGATAAAGGCGTTATGATGGTATCTCTGTACAAGACGGTATCCAAAAAAAGGAAAGGTATTTTTTTAACAGAGATGCTTACGCAAGATCCGCTTCGAGATCCCGGGCCACTGAGCTCTTCCACTTTCCCGTCACGACGACCCTCATATTTTGAGACGAAATTAAGATTTGGTGCAGAGAACTTATGGTCCTCGAGATGCACATGGTCCTCGAAGACACTGACAGCTTGGCAAATATGGAGACGATTTTGAGGACTTAAGTGGTTCCAAAGGACACAAAAATCAAATGTCCCATGGCACTATTTAAAATGTTCGGGGGGTGTATAGCGCTAAGGGGGAAAAACAGTTACCGCATTCAAATCCGGTAGTTGCGATAAGAAATTTTATTATCACTGAATAAGCGAATTAGTTTGAAGATAAGCAGGTTTTGCCGATAAGAAAACACAGGTGTTCAATTGCGAAGACGCAAATTCAAGTATAGGAGAGGCGAAAACTGAAAGAGGGAAGAAGGTTTAAATAGCAGAGGAAGACACAAATGGAGGTTTGTTTGGTAGTGGACGTTTATTGTTGTTTTTTTTGTTTGGTAGCCGTTGATTTTTTTTGATCGGCAGTCAGTCGTATTTGAGCGTATTTCTTGTAAAGTCAGTTGTAAAGTTTTGTAGAAGAAAGTGAGTTTTGCGCTCTAAGAAAAAGTTTAGTGCCAGTTAAAGGGTTTTTTCCACCATCAAAGAACCAATTTTACATATGTAATTACGACTAACCCAGTGTCGTCTAAATCGAAATTTTGTTGGAAGTCGCAGTTACGACCGGATGTTTTGGATTATTAACACTTTAAGGTCATTTAATTTGCTCAATCAGTCGCTTGTTGCGTGATATGTGTAATGGTGTACTCTGGCCCTGGATGCCTATTGGATTTATTTACCTGGAATAATTTGTTTCATCTGTAAATGTTCTATATTGTATATCGAGCTCAAATTACGGCCGGGAGAAGAGTTCTGAAGTCAAAATTGTCTAGTGGTAATCTGGGTTATGCCATGTGTTAAACATTTTTAATATAACTTTTTGGAGTTTTGGAGGCTGAGTTTCTCAAATTAGTGTTATCGAGATTTTTAGTAGTAGCGGGTCCTGGGCGTGAAAACCTGCAAGAGTCAAAACGTTAACGTCTGCAATTTTAAACAGTGCACTGGTACCTATTTACACCAAATTTGGCTTGTCTACACGATCTACGTTTATCGAATTACACAACGCAATTTTCATATTTTAATCTATAGATATGAGAAGAAAATGGTGATTTTTGTTAAAAAAATATTTAAGATACTTCTACTAAATAGCAATTCAAATTTCAAACAATTCGTAATTACAATTACCAGTTACTCACCAGTTGAGTAAACGCAAATATTTTGTACAGTAATTAGGAATAATATTAAACCGTTAGTAGTGTGAGGTTTTTAGAAGTCATTAATAGTTAAAGCCTCACGTAAAAATTCTACTTTAGCCAAAGTGCAGTAAGTTCTCAATCGTTAGATTTGTTATTCCAGATACTAAAAATACACCCCTGCGCGTAAAATGATTGGAGACAGCTGCTTCCTACAGGAGGATTTAAATTATGTAACAAATTTTTTCATTCATTCTTGAAGGGGATATGATGCACGTTAACACGATTATTGCAAATTCGGATGTTTCATATTTCGTTAAGTCTGAAACTAAAAGGATCTTGAACATGTCAATTAATTTCTTCAGAAAGCATTACTGAAAGCTCTTCCACGTACATTCATACAATCATTCCTATTTTATTAAAACATTGGTATCCATTTGTGGACCCTCTTTTTAATATATACAATACGCCAGTTCCTACATTTCTGACTGTGGGTATATCCGATACGTGATAAATGCAAAGAATGATTGTGTATTGAGTTACATTTTTTTTTTTAAATTTATGTTACAGGTCTTTAAATACAAAAAACTAATTATTTTGGTTTTTTACCTATCAGTAAATTTTCCACTCACGTATTCTTGTCCAATAAAAACACTGCATTTTCCTTTATTAAGGGCCAGTTAGTTATTTTTTTAGCTTTCTGTCAGTTGGCAAGTTCCTAGGTCCCTCCTCCACAACTTTCGCTCCATGGCTTCTGCATCCCCACATAGCCGGTTCCCTTTTTCAAATCATCAACCTTTTTTTTCTTCCTCGCTTGCCTCCACCTTCCGTTTCCATCGATCCCTCCAATACGTCTCGCAACATTCCATTACTCTCTACACGTGGCCCACCCAGTTTCGATTTCTCTTTCGAATATTGCTTAGCATTTGTCTCTAGTCCTGCTCTTCTTAATACTCCACTCTACCTTCTTTGTTTGTTTGTTACAACAATAAGACTTTTTGGAGTAGTACTGATATAATTCTCCTCTCTCCATACTTTTCGCTACTGTTTCATTGACCAAAATGCCTACTCCATTCTCTTAATATCCCCGTTGTAGTAAAACATCATTCCGTTTTCTTGTATTAGTCCACTTCCCTCCCACCTTACTTCGCTTACTTCACTTTTCTGCTCCTATTGGGGATCTAACGTTCCATGTCCGTATTCTCCGTGTGCTTTTTGCACTTTTTGTAGGGTTCCCCGTATATTGTCTCCCCCGGACATCCGAATGACAAATATTTTAACACGCACCCGCTCATCTGCCCCCCGAAGGGACCGTTGGCGCTTGGTAGGGGGTTGATTTCTTATTTCGGAAGTCCTTCAGTCGCCATATCCTCTTTAGTGAAAACAGATTGTACCACGTGAAGTTGAGATTTGACATTTGAGGGGGAGAGGTTGTGCCCCCCTCCTTACAACCCATTGTCATTATTTTAGACAGATAAAACGAAAGACGAAAACGAATAGAAATTGCAATTATAATAATTATGGGTGCCCGACGAAGGCACCGGAGAAACTCCTTCAGACCGGAGTTTTCGGATTCGTTCAGCAAACAATTAATGAGTCGGGAATCGTGGTCTTTGCCCATTTGGAGGAAAGGTTTGATCGAAGAAACTGAGCTGTACCCCCTAATATTTATTGTTCCTGCCCCAACTCCACCTTTGTTAATTTAGTAACCATTTAGCCATTTCATAGAAACTGTAAAAAAAATCGTCAGTCTTTTTCTCTGTCTATCAGGCTTGGTTTTCTGCAAGAAATAATCGTTTGTTTGGTCAACTTTTGTATTCATAGAGCTTTTTTTAATTATAAGCACAGATGTTTCTAGTAAAGACAAGCATATCGCATATTT